CACAGGGGCTGCAGCCTACGCCGCTGTCACAGGCGACTCCAGCTCCAGGTTGAGCTGTTGTTCAGCATCTTAGCTGTGGAGGGCAGTGTCACTGGCCTTCATATGTGGGATCCGAACCGGGGCCCTCTGGTGTCCCAAGCCAGCTCTTAACCATCGCGCCACTCGGCCGGCCCTGAAGCTTTTTTTTAAATAAAGCAGTCATACTCCTGCACGAGAATGGCACATATAGGGTATGTTCTATGTCTTGATGAGAGTTTGAGTTATATGAATGTGTTCTTTTGTTAAAACTCAGCAAATGGACATATTTGTACATTTCATTGTATGTAAATTTTCCATCAAAAGAAAAGAAACCTATATACAAATAAATAATGAATTTAGGTAGTGACACCTGCTTGCCAAGGTATTTAGGAAATATTCTAATGTCTGCATTTACATGAAGCGCACCAAAACTAAGAGGGATTAAACATATCTGTGTTCACTGTAAAAAAAAAAAAAAAAACTAATGCAAAACATTTTTTAAAAGCAAGAAGACTATCCTTGTTTTTTGGAAATGCTAGCTGAAGTATTGAAAGGTGAGATCTCATAATGTCTGCAATTTACTTTCAAATGATTCAGCAAAATGAGTTTATATTGAAAGAGAGAAAGCAAATAGGGGAGAATATAATTAAGAATCAGAGTGAAGCGTTGCTTTAAGGTTATTCATGTTTTGATTCTTTTGACTTCCGTGTAATTTAAAATTTTTCAAAGTAAAAAGTTGGGGAAAAATAACAATCATAAGCAATTGCTGAATGACATGATTGCTGAAACTAAAATATCAAGACATTAATAATGTCTTACTTCCCTAGGTTTGAAATTTATATCCAGTTAAATACTAATTACCAAAGATTTAAAGAGAACAGATCTCAGTTTTGAATGATGTTTCTAAGGAAAAGTATAATGCTGAATAACTAGTAAGCATTTTGGCTTTACCTTGACAGAGCAAAGGATGATAGCCATAATATTGGTTAAAAGAGGGCCGGCCGAGTGGCTCAGTTGGTTAAGAGCTCGCTCAAGAGTTTGAGCTCTGAGCAACAGCGGTTCAATTCCCAGCCCAAGCTGAGCAGCCGCTGAGCTGCCAACAGGTAGCAGGATGGCTCAGCTTAACAAATAAACAAACAAACAAACAAACAAACAAACAAAAAGAGCATATTGGTTAAAAGAATCTTCTCTGAAAATCTAAGAGAATTTAGTAATAAATAATAAAGGTGTCACAAATCGGAGGATAGAAAAAATTATTTTATCAATCACTCTAGGACAGGTGCTCTCTGAAGGAAAAAGGGTTAGATCTTTGTATTACACTATACACCAAAATAAACTCCAGATAGATTAAAACGGGTTCTTAGTTCATAGACACATAAAGTTCCAAGAAAGCCTGACACTTTCATGAGTTCTCAATGGACTAGCCCCAGAAGGTTAAGAAGCACTGAATTAAAGACATAAATATGAAAAATGAATTGTGGAGGGGAAATAACTATAGGTGAGTATTTATCTAATTTGAAAATGGTAAAGGACTTCACAGCATAGAAGCATTTAAATAAACCACAAAGGGAAATATAGATCTCTGTATCAAAAAAGTAAATAAGTATATTAAAAGGTAACTTGAAAAGAAAACTAAATAAAACAAGTTTGCAATAAACATGACAGAAAATTCACCTTTACCTGGTGATCAAAGACCTCCAAATTAAAACAACAAAATACTTTGTCTATCACATTATTAAAGAAAAAAACGTTAAGTATTAATGAGCAGTGTTAGTAGGTGCTAAATATGATAAATACCTTCATACACTGATAACAAGCACATGGACAGACATATCAAGAACCTTAGGAAAATGCATGCATGCCCTTTGATTTAGTAACTTCTAAGATCCCAGGAAAATAATTTCATTTATGGTTAAGGTTGTTCACCATGGTATTTATCCTTAGAAAAATAAACTATCTCAATGTTTTTGGGGAAAAAAACACGAAAACTGGTTAAATAAATGATGATATATCCATATGATGTGATATTATATGTATATTCTTTACAAACTATGTTTTTAAAAAATATTTAATGGCATACAACAATATTCATGATATAGTGTGGGAAGAAAAGTGCTATCCAGATATATATACATTATCTCCCTAACCTGAAAACCAAACATTTAGGCACTATAAAACTGAGAGTAGGCCAGCCGAGTGTCTCAGTGGTCAAGAATTGGCTTAAGAGTGCGAGCTCTGAGCAACAGGGCCACCGGTTCGATTCCCACATGGGCCAGTGATGCTGCCTGCTAGCTGAGCTGTCACTGAGCTGCCGACAGGTGGCCAGATGACTCAGCTGATGTAACAACAAGATTGCCTGTTCCATGGTGGGCTGTGCCCACCCACAACTAAGACTGAACTTGGCACCTTGAGCCTAGCTGCCGCCTGGCTGGCTCAGTGGATAGAGCATGCCCTCTTAACAAGTCTGCTGGTTGGACTCCCACATGGGATGGTGACTACGCCCACCTGCAACTAAGATTGAACACAGCACCTTGAGCTTAGAGGCCACGAGCTGTCAACAGGAAGCCAGATGGCGACTGGCGCCCACCACCACTAAAATTGAAGAACAACAACTTGGCTGGTCCCCTTCCCCAATTCCCCAACACTGTTCCCCTCCCCCAATTCCCCAATAAAATCTTTAAAAGAACTGAGAATAAGTACATCAAAAAGTTAAGAATAACTATATCTGGATGAGTGTTACATCTTTCTGTATTTCTTAAATTCTCAAGCAAAAGCTGATATTATCTAATTTAAAATCAGTCTAAAACTTTATACAGGTAGCTTACGATTATATTCTGGTTTTTAGAAACTCAAGCAATTTATAAAAGAATATAGAGTAAAAAGTGAATGTTCTCATCCCTCAGTCCCACTTCTCTTCCGAGAGAAAACCACTGTGAAATAATTTCAGTGGGTATCCTTTCAGATTATTTTCAATAATAACATACTGTTTTAAAGTTAATAGTAGAGCAGTGGGCGGAGGTACCAAACTTCAGCCGCATAAGTAATCTGTAGCTTGAAAGCAACAATGAACAAAAGTTATGTGCAAGTTACTTGGCAGTTTGTTCTTTTTAACAGATCATGCAGATAACTCTTCTTTCAGTGGTAAACAGTAATTACTTGACAAATCTGAACATCCAGCCAGGAAAAAACAAACTTAAAATAGAAGGCCAAGAGAGTCGAGCTTGGGGTGAAAGAGTCCTTGTCCCTTTTAATTACTCATTTAATTATGACCATTATTTTCAGCAGGCCTGCTTTTATCAGTACAAAGCTGCCTTATATGTGAGAGGATTAAATACTTAGCAAATTAGTAATAGAAACCTGGGACCTTTACCAGCATATTCCCTGCTGGCTTCACACACAGGTCAAATGTAGAGGCAGATCTGAATGTACATGGCTTCTGTCTGTATTTCAAATGCAAGCCTATAGATTAGTTTTGTATTAACTGCCACCAAGAAATCAACTATTTTACTATATTTTCTAGTGTTCTCAGATGGTTATATAAGTGAAGATATTTTCAAACTGGGTCCTGAGGAACGTTTCAAGGACCCAGGCCAGTGGGCCATTTAAGCAGTGAGGACTTTAGGCCTCATGGAACTAATTCAAAGCAGAAATAAATAATACATGGAACTACTGTTCTAGATCAGCTTTTGTTTATGTGGATTATATTTATTGATATTTACCACGTTATAAATTAAAACTGAGTTGTTTAAATGTTTGTTTTCTTAAAAGATTGGTAATGGTAACATAAATAATGTATTTTTATCAAAATAAAATAATGAAAATTTAATGAGAACAGTGGCGTTGTTTTACATTTTTGGTATATTTCTGAGAAGTCAACTAGATTGTCCTCTCTGCCTCTGCATTCAGTTTATTGATGTAGCATGTGTCATACAGCTTCTGGAAACTCCACTGTACACTTTTGAGAGAATGAGAGTGAAATAACATCTTAGTGTTGTTATTAAAATGATTTTAACCACACAGAAGCCCTGAAAGGATCCTGGGGGCTCTGGGCTACACTTTAAGAACCACTGTTAGATTTAAACTGCCAAGTCTGTTCAAACTTCATTGCTCTGTGTTCACTATGCAGATACAGTTATAAATCTTTTACTTGCCAGATTTTATGTTCAATAGTGATGAAATTACTGTTTTAATTTTTTGAGAAAATGATAGGCCTCCAGATCAGTAAGATTGTGGTTTTAAGCTAATTATTGTCTTTGTTTCTTCCTTCAGGTGCATTTGGTGTCAGAAAACAGTACATGATGAGTGCATGAAAAATAGCGTAAAGAATGAAAAGTGTGATTTTGGAGAATTCAAAAACCTCATCATTCCACCAAGTTATTTAACCTCCATTAATCAGATGCGTAAAGACAAAAAAACAGATTATGCAGTGGTAATCAGCGTTGATTTTTCCTTATGTAATTGATTTCCAGAAAGTAGTTTAAGTCCGTGTGCCAGTTACAACTGTGTGTGTGTGAGCAGAATCATGGTAAACCATAAAACTCTACCCAGTGCCTAGAGATATGCCACAAATTTTGGCTCTTAAGTTCTTTCATGTCTAAAGGGAAATTGGAAATGTTATACTCGTGGTTTCTAAATCACTGCCTGCATCTGAATCATTTGGGGAGCTTTTTAAAAATATAGATTCCTGAATCCACCCCATCACCATGTTTGATTTAGTAGGTCTAGGGAAGGCCCCAGAAACCCATATTTTTTTAAGGTCCTCAGCTGATCCTGATGAACAGCCAGGTTTAGCACTCATGATTATTGTCAGTGAAAAGAAAACATAGATTTTCCTCACACGTTGTTCTAAAAGAATTTTTCCATTTGGAACTTTACATAGGTGCCTACAGATAAGTTTACATTGCACATTAGATGCTGCCACAAATAACGTTGAACGTTAAAGCTGTTAGCAACACTTTACAGTATGTTTGTGTGAAAATCGATGTAAATGTATCTCTCAATCTTTATGTAACTTAAGGAATCACTATAAAAGTTTGCATTTATTTCCTACTTGAATATGCCAAAATAGTTGAACTATTGGGTTGTTGGAAAAGTCATGACGCAGTTTTGCAACGAAAAACAGAAAAAATACGTCATGACTTTTCCGACAACCCAATATTTTATTTTAAAATCAAGCTGTGTCTTTTCCAAGTTAGGATTTTATACCTTAAATTTCATCTTTGTCAATATTCCTTCAAAAGAAAGGCATTTGAAAATTTAAAAACATGTTTAATGTTGTTACACATATTTTTTAAATATACAACCCCTTATGAATCTGAATTCAATCTGAGATCACAAGGGATGAGAATCACTAAGAAAAACCACAAACATCTTCATTCGTGTTTACACCCACAAGTGAAAGGAAGAGGAAAGAAATTAGAAAAACAATTTCATTTGACTTTGGACTTTGTACAAATCTGGATTCTTGAACCTATTTCTGAGTACTCCATTTAAAATTTAAAAAAACTTAGACAAACTAAAATACATCAGAATACATCCAGAAAAGGACTGTCAAGGTAAAAGAGCAGAGATATACTCAATATCCATTCTGTGAAGGGCTGAAAGAACTGAAAATACATTGCCTAGGAGATAAAACCAATGAAAGGCATAATGCTTCAGGTGCTTGAGCACAACAGTTACATGGAAGAACAAATGAAATTCTATTTGCTTCAGGTTGCAAAATTAGAACGATGAATAAAAGTTATTGAAAGACACATTTTTAACTCAATTTAAGTGAAAACTTCCTAATTGATTCAGCAGTGAAACGGGCTGCCTTGTTATTGAGTTCCTTCTTACATAAATATCCAAGCGTACACTGGAGGACTTAGCTAGAAACATATAGAAGAGGATTATATATTAAGTGGGAGTTCATTTAGTTCATCTCTAAGGTCCCTTTCCATTCTTAGAATTCTTTGATTTTCATATTGTATTGATGTACTGGGATAGTTGTTTTTCTCTCAGTAAATTACAGCATGGTTGTTACTAGGAAATGAAAAGTTTATTGCTCACTGGTTTTGAGATATTTAACCCTTTCGCTTGCTTTAATTTTTTTAGCTGGCCTCTAAGCTTGGAAAGCAATGGACTCCATTAATAATCCTGGCCAACTCTCGTAGTGGAACTAACATGGGAGAAGGGCTGTTGGGAGAATTCAGGATCCTTCTAAATCCAGTCCAGGTAACTAAAGCGAAAACCTTCCTTTCCATATTAATCTTTTCATTTTTAGCTTTTCATTTTCCCTAAATTATAATGGTTGTTAATACTTTAAGCCAGTAATCAATGATTATAAAATGAATAATAATTATAAAAGTATCAAGCCATTTGAATATGTGAAGAAAAGAGGTGAAGATTTAAAATGGTGGAGCCACATTAGAAAACAGTTTGGCAATTTCTTCAAATGTTAAACATATATTTACCATACCACCTAGCAATCCCATTTTTAGGAATCTACCCAAGGGAAATGAAAAATATATTCTATAAAGACTTTTAGGCAAATGTTCATAGCAGCATTATTCATAATAGCCAAAAAGGAGAAACAACAGAAGTGTCCATCAAAACAAAATGTGGCATACGCATACAATGGAATGTTATTCAGTGATAAAAAGGAACTAACTACTGGTAGATACATACTAAAATGAATGAACCTCAAAAACAAGCTAAGTGAAAGAAGCCACATGCAAGGGGTCCCTATTGTATGATTCAGTTTATGTGATCTGCCCAGAAAGGGCAAGCCTATAGAAACAGTACATTCGTGGTTGCCTGGCAATGAAAGTTCTAAACTGGATTATGGTGGTGGTTGGACAACTCAGTAAACTTACTAAAACTCATTTAAATATTTATTTGAAGTGGGGGGTGACTTTCATTATATGTAAATTAACCTCAATTTAAAAAAATAAGAATAAAAGGATCACATCATTAAGACTGAGGTTACATGCTAGCAGCTTCTACTTTGAAGTACTAAGCAACCCATTGTGCAACAATCAGAAATGCAATAACTTTTGTTTTTCTTCCAATTTGTATTTTTCCCATTCAACATTATACAACTTAAGGAAATTATAAAAGTAATAAAGGAGAGAAAATCACCTACAGTTTCCCACACAAACACCTCAGTTGTTTTCATTTGTGTTCTTTCCATGAATTGTCTACATTTACATATTAACATTACTGTAACAATAATCTAGATAGAAATTTGCGTTTTGTTTACTTAAAAGTATATTTTTCCATGTTGTAAAAAAACCCTCATAATTACATATGTAATAACTAAGATAATTAATTGAATAGATATAACATATTTGTACAGTCTCCTGCTGTACAATTATACATTGTACAATTATAAATAACACCACACTGAATACCTTTGTTCATGTATTTCCACCTTTTGGGATATTTTCCTAGATCATTTACAGAATTGTGGTTATCAAGGATCCTTGCATCTTTGTCATTTTATGCATATTGCAAAATTGCTTTCCAGAAATGTGTACTGATTTACACTAATACTAGATTTTTAAAATCTGGTATACAGTATGAAGCACTAGTTAAAGGTGAACCTAGCACATTCTGGTTTCGTGTGAACAGGAAGGAGGGAGTGTTGTAGAATAGATAGACTGGGATTGAATCTGTATGTCAGCACTTAATTAGCAGGGGACTCGTAGGCAAGCTGTTCAACTTGCCTGTGTCTTGATTCCTGGTCAATAGAATGAGACTTACTCTGCTTTATAGGGACAGTGTCGGGATGAGCCACAGTGAATATTAAGAGTCTGGCATAATTCCACTTCCAGATATTTATCTGAAGAAATCTGAAACACTATTTCAAAAAGACCTGCACCCGTATGTTCATTGCAGCACTATTTACAATAGCCAAGATATGGAATCAACCTAAGTGTCCATCAATAGATAAATGCATAAAAAAGAGGTGGTACGGGCCGGCCGAGTGGCGCGATGGTTAAGAGCTGGCTTGGGACGCCAGAGGGCCCCGGTTCGGATCCCACATATGAGGGCCAGTGACACTGCCCTCTACAGCTAAGATGCTGAACAACAGGTCAACCTGGAGCTGGGCTGCCTTGAGTTGCCGGCGACGGCGGAGGCTGCAGCCCCTATGGCAGTGGGTTGCCATGGGCTACCGTGTGTAGCCAGCAGCCAGCGTGAGCGGCCAGCAGCCGCAGTGAGCAGCCGTCCAGAAGCCGGTGACTGATCTGCCTCACCCGGGAAGAGCGCAATGATGGTGCCAACTTGGGCCAGTGAAGCAACGTCCTCCACAACTAGACTGAAGAACAAAAGGACAGCAACTTGTCTGTTCCCCTTCCCCCAATTCCCCAATAAAAATCTTGAAAAAAAAAAACAGAGGTGGTACATATACAATGGAATATTACTCAGCCATAAAAAAAATTTTTTTTAAACAACAAAACAATGAAATCTTGCCATTTGCAACAACATGGATGGATGGACCTGGGGGTATGATATACTAAGTGAAATAAGTCAGATTGAGAAAGACAAATACTATATGATCTCACTTCTATGTGGACTCTAGAAAACAAACTGAAGGAACAAACGAAACAGAAACAAACTCATAGATCCATAGAACAAACTAATGGTCTCCAGATGGGAGGGGAGTTAGGAGAATGGGTGAAAAGGTGAAAGGGATTAAGAAATACAAATTACCTGTTATAAAAATAGTCATGGGATGTAACGTACAGCATAGAGAATATAGTCGATAATATTATAATAACTATGTATGGTGTCAGATGGTTACTAAATTATCAGGGGATCACTTGGTAAGTTATATAAATGTCTAATCATTATGTTGTACATCTGAAACTAATGTAATATTGTATGTCAACTCTAATTGGAAAATAAATTAATTTTTTTAAAGTGTAAAAGATGCAAGGGGGGAAAAAAAAAAACCTGGCATAGAGCCTGGCATATTGTTAAAGATGGATGCAAGGTAGCCGGTCTTGTTGTTTAACCATATCTGTACTCATCTAGAGGGAAATCATCCTCACAAATGGAAGACAGTGTTGGATAAAAATAAGTTTTTTCTTTTCTTTCATTTCTAGGTTTTTGATGTAACGAAAACTCCCCCTATCAAAGCCCTGCAACTTTGTACTCTTCTTCCTCATTACTCCGCTCGAGTGCTTGTCTGTGGAGGAGATGGGACTGTGGGCTGGGTCCTGGATGCAGTTGATGAAATGAAGATTAAGGTATCTACCTTTAACACCTACTTGCCTTTTACACAAGCACTTCCAAGATCGTTATACAGTGTTTTTTAGTTATATGTTTATTATGCAAGTGAATATGAGAAGACATTACCAATTTTGAATATTATCATTAAGCAGTCAGCATAACCTTTAGCAAAACAACATACAGTTGTGATATTTGTATCTTTTATTGCTTTGGTCTTTAAGTTTTACCAAATGTTATTGACCTACAAATAATCTGAAGAGAAAAATCTAAACTATATCTTGCATATTCTAGGGACAAGAAAAATACATTCCACAAGTTGCAGTCTTGCCTCTGGGAACAGGCAACGATCTATCCAATACGTTGGGCTGGGGTACAGGTTATGCGGGAGAAATCCCAGTCACACAGGTCTTAAGAAATGTGATGGAAGCAGATGGAATTAAACTGGACAGGTAAGTTACACTTCCCCCCAAAAGGAGACTTCTTGGGCTTTGAGAGCATTGTTTGGTTTATAAATAAACTCTTGTGTAAGTTATAAAGTTAAATAATTTAAAAGTAAAAGACTACATTAGTTGTACTTAAATGTAGATGCTGGTGTTTTATTTGGTTGTTATATAAGGACTGAAAGTCATAAGTTAGCCAATTAACTTATCTCAGATTTTGCATACTCAGATGTGCTTACTTTTTCAAATGCTGTTTTAATGGAAGGACTTTATCTCCCACGCATGCAGAGTTGATTGGTAATCATTTTAGTTAACTGGCAGTTGATTTGGGAATAATCACGAGTTTTTTTTAACCTCCATTTTTTAGATGGAAAGTTCAAGTAACAAATAAAGGATACTACAACTTGAGAAAACCCAAGGTATGTTTTTAGGGCTTCTGTTGCAGGTAGTTTCAGTGAACATGATGGAGTGCCTCCACTGTACAAGACGTAGCCCTGTGGTGGGACACAGACCTGGTGCTTCTCTCTAAGAGCAGAAGAGATTCCCCACATGCACAGTTCCCGAGTGGGACTGTAAAGAGTGATGTGGGAGAGAGCCGGTGCTCGGGTGCTCGACTCTGCCCTGGTAGATCAGGCTGGAAAGACTTCAGGGGAGGTCACATGTGACTTGGTCCTTAAACGGTAAATAAATTTAGGTCAACAGAGAAAGGAACAAGACTTTCCAAGCAGAGGAAATGGAGACGAGACGGTACAATTCATGGTTAGCAAATAGCAAATAATACAGAGAGAGCAGATCTGTATTTTTTAAAAGATGCTCTGGGGATAGTGTGAAAAGAGTTTAGAAGCCTGCACAAGAACAAAACAAGGGGGAGCTTAGGATGAGGACAACTCAAAGACATTTTAGAGGCAGACTTGATCAAGACTTGGCAGCCGATTGGTATTAGAGGAAGAGAAAAAAATGCATATTACTACCAGATTTCTAGTTTTTATCGTGGGATGTATGGGAAGGACATTAGCTAAGATAAGAAAAATAGAAAGGGGACGGCCGAGTGGCGCGTTGGTTAAGAGCTGGCTTGGGATGCCAGAGGGCCCCGGTTCAGATCCCACTTATAAGGGCCAGTGACACTGCCCTCCACAGCTAAGCTGCTGAACAACAGCTCAACCTGGAGCTGGGCTGCCGTGAGTCACCGGTGACTGCGTAGGCTGCAGCCCCTGTGGCAGTGGGTTGCCATGGGCTACCGTGTGTAGCCAGCAGCCAGCGTGAGCGGCCATCCAGATGCCGGCGACTGATCTGCCTCGCCCGGGAAGAGCGCAATGATGGTGCCCACTTGGGCCAGTGAAGCAACGTCCTCCACAACTAGACTGAAGAACAAAAGGACAGCAACTTGTCTGTTCCTCTTCCCCCAATTCCCTAGCCCTGTTCCCATCCCCCAATTCCCCAATTGAAAAAAAAGAAAGAAAGAAAAACAAAGAATTTCAGGTTTGAGATGGAAGAGAATGAGTTAGATTTTGGGCATATCAACCTTGAAGCTATGGCGCCTTAAACAAAAAGTTGGAGATTCAGGCTTATTGCTGAGGAACAAGACAGAGCTTGAAGATGTAGATTAAAGAATCCAGGCTAGGTTGTGTAGTCAGATAATCTAAGATGGTACCAATAGCCTGGGTTGAGACTGATAGAAGCCAATGTAATAGGACCACAGGAGTGGAAAGCCAGGGTGCCAAGTAGATGATAAGATCTGAGGTGTAGCATATTAAACAGAAATGGAAGGGAAATTCATATCTATACTGATCAGCCTTTGAACTGAAGCTTTATTACTAGATAGCATAAAATAGCTCTATGTGAATAGTAAATGCAGAAAGTATTAAATTTTCATAAAGAGCATAAAGAGATGTACATACTTAATATACCGCATTTCCCCATGTATAAGACGCACCCTTTTTTTCAAAAAATTGGGGGTCTAAAAACTGGGTGCATCTTATAAAGTGGTTGTAGTTTTGTTTTTTTGCTTGCATTTCCCGCTCTTTTCATGCTTGTTTTTGCGCTCATACAACCACTGTAAAAGATGCACCCAGTTTTTAGACCCCAAATTTTTCAAAAAGGGGTGAGTCTTATACATGGGGGACTACGATATAACACAGGCTTGGACTGAAGCATAATCTGTTGCTTATTGTTACCCTTTCCACAGGAATTCACAATGAACAACTATTTTTCTGTTGGACCTGATGCTCTCATGGCTCTCAATTTTCATGCTCATCGTGAGAAGGCACCATCTCTGTTTTCTAGCAGAATTCTTAATAAGGTGTGTTGGATAAAATAACATTTCCTGCTTATCACCGAAGGTACAGTAAAAATCAATGGTTCAATTCTATCTAGCACTTTCTCAAGTAGATTCAGAGAGAACTAACTTATGGGAACATTGACCTGCTTTGTGTAAGACTGTCAGATTAGATCCTTAAATGTATTTCATTAAAGTATTTTATCACAATAGCACATTTTTTAAAATTTAAAGTTGGAACGTTTTACAGCCTATTTTGCTTAGAGGGCAACTAAGTGGATTATATGATAGCTTATCTTACTTAAATGGCAACTAAAATTGGAAAGAAATTTTAGGCAGGAAAAGTGTTTGGTGAAGTCGTTAAAGGAAAAATAGATTCCATTGGCTTGGAAAAATTCCAAAAGGCAGATAAGGTAAGAGAAGGAGCAGTTTGTTTACCACGGCTTTTAACAAGGATCATTGCTCTGGTTTCTAGTAGAGTGGATTCCTTTGGTGGAAGTTTTGTCTTGGATTTTTTTTTAATGACTGTTGGTGATTGAGCAATAGGATGTTAAAAATAAATGTAAAACAGTTTTGTTTCTGGTTCTGTTTTACAAATATTTCAAATTTCCAAATAGTATCCTTTTATTGATATAAGTACTAAGGCAGTAAGTATCGCTGTTTATACAATTGGTAATTGACAACATTCTCAGTGCTTCCATCAACCTTTGAATATTCAAAAGTGACTATAAAATGTTTGCTAGATTTATCTGTATTCCTTTCATTAAATAACCTGAAGTGCTAGAAAAAGGTGGAATTTTCTAATTTTAATATAGTATTTTCTTATAAAAATGTAGCTCTTTTTGATAAACTGGGAGAAAACACCATCTAGGCACAAACCGCCCCTATCCCATATTCCCCCTAAAAAACGGCTAATTGAACTCAAAAGTAATGGGGCCCCTTCTTCCCATCAGCATCTAATCCACTCTAAGGTAACATGACTTAGCAGTCATGCCTGGGAGCTTTGGGACAGTGTCTTTTTCTTGCAGGGCTTGTTAGATTGTTGTAATATATTTTCTGTTCATTTCTCACAGGCTGTTTACTTATTCTATGGAACCAAAGATTGTTTAGTGCAAGAATGTAAAGACTTGAATAAAAAAGTTGAGGTAAGCTTTTAAAGTTTCGGTGGTCTCTGGATTATGAACATTTTGAAGTAAAAATGTTGACTTATCTATTAATATATTTTGCTAACATATATGGAGTATTTATTGTGTGCCGGGCACTTCACTAAGTGCTTTATATACAGTATCCCACTAAATTTTCACCACAGCACTATAAGGCAGGTACTGTTATATTCCCATTCTGCAAAAGAGAAAACTGTTTGAAATTAAGTAAACTGCCCACATACACATGTAATGAGGATTTGAACCCAGGTTTATATAGCTTCCAGAGTCTGTTTAACTCTTACGCTAAACAGCTTCACTCACACACGATGACTAGTGCGAGCTTATCTAACACAGTGCCTGACTCATCATGGACTCGCAGAGGAAGTTTCAACCCAAAGTTTAATTCATATTGTGGCGGTTATCTTGTATATATTCCTCACTTGCTTCCAAAAAGAATCTGTAATGGTTAATAGCAACGACAAGGACATTCATACCGAGAAACCTAGAACTAGTAAAATAAGTAAACAGGGAAGAGCTAAATAATCAATGGCTTGGGAACAGAGCGAAAAGAATGAGCAGGGAGTGAGGAGCCTGATTATACGTCAGCCCAGGAATGCTGCTGCAGTTAGGCAGACACTTAGCTCACAGCCTTTGCAGCCACGGCACAGGAGAATGGCACGGTTTCCCATGAAGAAGGTTTCCTTCTGCTGCGTCGTGTTTTCTTTGTCTTAGCCTTTGACAGCATTAGTAGAGCGAAGCATACAAGGTAGCACTTTATTTTGTGTCTGATATTTTGTCTATAGAAAAAATAAGTGTGAAGCCACCTACAAATGCCAGGCACTGTCCTAGGTACTAGGGATACAGTGATAAAACCCCTTGTTCTCACTAAGCTATAGTCTGAGAGAAGAAAGACGTTGAAACCACATTGCAATACAGTTTGAAAAGTGCTGTGTTAAGGAAGGCATGAAGGCATCCAGTCTTATAGGAATAAATAAGAGTGACACATAACCCAGAGGCTGGAGAAACTATCTAGGGACAGTGACTGTAACAAGGAAGTCTATCTGGAGGAATCTGAAAATGCAGTAAGAGTTAGCAAAGTGAATAAAAAGGTGAAAATTGTCCTAAGCCAAGAACAGTATGTACAAAGGCCCAGAGGCAAGAGAGAACATGGTATATTCAAGTGAGTTCAAGCTGGAGCATAGCTTACAGGAGGGAAAGTGGCAAGAGCTGAGGCTGGAGAGATGGACAGAGGCCAAATTGCAAAGGAGTTCCTAATAGCCTGTTCAGGAACTTCTATCATGAGCACCGAGTCATGCACGCCATTGAAGGGTTGTGATAGGGGTTGACAAATTTGCATTTTATAACTGGCGACCCAACTGCTCTGTGAGAGATGACTTAGAGGAGAGCAAAGCTAGAGCCAAGACTAGTTATGAACATTTTAAGGAAGAGTGATGGTATGCTGGACTAGGATGTTATCAGGAAGGATGGAGATGGATAGATACTTAGAAGTAGCATCAGTCGTTTTTAGTGATTAATTGGCCATGGAGGGTAAAGGCGAAGAAGTCAAAGAGAGCTCCTGGGTTTCTGGTTTAGGCAACTGCGGGGTGGGAGGCAGTACACTCTTCCCTGGGAAGTAGATTGGTAGGGGGGTTGCAGAGAAGATGTTTAACTCAGTTTCATACATAGGAGTTGTAGGTGCCACCGTCAGTTGGAAGTGTTTTGTGGGCAGGTTGGATACACAGATCTGGCCCAGTTCACTTTCATGGACCATCGAAATATAGCTGTCAGCACAGAGATGGCAATTAACAATATAGAAGAAGTAGCTAAGATCATCCTTCAGAGTCTGTAGCATGAGAAGAGAAAGGAGCCTGGGAGAGGCAGGAAACAGAGCTCTCCATCGTGACTGAGGAGGAATACCCAGACAAGCAGTCTGGATCCCAGAAAGCAGAAGGAGAGTAATTTCAGGAAAAGAGATAAGGGGTCAGCAGTGCCAGGTGCTGCTGACACAGCAAGGCAGGTAAGGCCTGACAAAAAGTAATGGGATTTAACAAAAAGGATGTCACCGTTGACCTTGGTAAGAAAAAAATAATAATGTGTTATAATTCATTTATTATAATAAACATTGGACCAGTGGGAAAGCCAGGTTACCTTGAGTAAGGAGGAAGAAGTAGCCTTGTCTCCCACGTGCACCTCTCACATCTCATGTATATGCAAGTGGCTGTGCATTCTAAGTGGGCGTGCCTGGAAACCACGTGCCCTGTAGTAATTAACTACTTGGATTTCTTTAAAGCTAGAGCTGGACGGTGAGCGAGTAGAACTGCCGAATTTGGAAGGTATTATCGTTCTGAACATCGGTTACTGGGGCGGCGGCTGCAGGCTGTGGGAAGGGATGGGAGACGAGACTTACCCTCTAGCCAGGTATGTGCGTTTACAGTCTGGTTGTTCGTTTGTTTGTTTATGGCCCTGTTTTCTTTGAAGCAGTCTGTGCTTTATAGACTCAACTTTAAAAAATTTTTCCCTCAAATTTTCTTTTTTGTATACCTCATTCGTATTAAGTGTTTAATAAGCTGATGATCCACCCACATTAAAAACTAATTGTCCTGACATGGCTGACTTTATGTTATCGCATCATATAATCCATACCTCCTTTTTCCAATTTTAGGCATGATGATGGTTTACTGGAAGTCGTTGGAGTATATGGGTCTTTCCACTGTGCTCAGATTCAAGTGAAACTGGCAAATCCTTTTCGAATAGGACAAGCACATACAGTGCGGGTAGGTGAAGTGTTATTGTAACAGGCTAATTTGTTACAGTCCATTTCTAAGCCATTGATATGTATAAGAAAATATTACACACTAAAGCTTTCCTTAAATAGTGGTTTACAGCCCACGCTGTTAATCACCCTCCACCAGGGGCTTGAGTGGGATGGGGAAAAATAGGAAATAAGGCCCTCGATCCAGTTGAAGAGATAAAGCGTTCAGTGGAAAAGAATCCTTTAAACAATCAATGAATAAAGATATATTCAGATTAATTTGCTAACAAATGTCCCTAAGAAGGGGCAAAGGACTATAGATGATGTTATTAAGAAAGACCTTTCAGAGCTTTTTTGGGACTGACGTTTTTCTAATTATTTGTTCTCTGATACCAGCTGATTTTGAAGTGCTCAATGATGCCAATGCAAGTTGATGGGGAGCCATGGGCCCAAGGGCCCTGCATTGTCACCATAACTCACAAGACGCATGCACTGATGTTGTACTTCTCTGGAGAACAAACAGACGATGACATCTCTAGTACTTCAGATCAAGAAGACATAAAGGAAACTGACTAGCTGGATGAGAAAATGAAAACTTACTCCAGAATCCTCACAAACCAGTAGACATAGAGTCATCCAAAAAGTAGAAATTCTGTCAACTATTTAGTCTTTATTTCACCAGTAGTATAATGAGTATACATTTCTGTAAATAGCATTCCAAAAACAGCCAGACTTCCCAGTGATTACAAATGCCTGTGTTTTTTTTTTTCATCAAAACACTTTGATCACATAGTACTCATTTTTTAAAGTCACAAAAGGTTGCGTGAAGGTAACTTGTTTTTTCATGGCTTTATGTTTGTGAGTGAGGTTTGCTCTGAAGGGTACGCTCTCACTCCTTATTCTTGAACCATATGTTTGATGTGGGTGGAAACATCATTTCCACCTTAATTTTTAATATGGTGACACTATATCATTTTAAAAATTAACTTACGTTTTTGAAAGGAGATGGTTGGTTTCAGACCAGTGTGGTTAATGCAGGGCACCCTCCTGCAGCATGGCTTTTCAGATTCCTACATACAGCCCAGCACCAAGTGGGTCCACAAGTATTTATTTCCAGGAAACCCTAAAAGGAGAAATGTAAAACAAAGACTACTTAACATTTTTATTATGATTTTTATTTTGGAAGCGTTTCCAGACGCCCAGATGTTTGGTTATCCCTGGTAATGACCACGTTGAATTGAAATTCAGGATCTTGTTTCTAACCCAGTATAACCCAAAGAGAGCCACATAGGTAAATTGGTAAAAATTAACATAGGTGAATTGGTAAAAATTAAGCACTCTGGATTGAAAGTTAGGGGTTCCGAGCTGGGCAGTACACCAGTCTCTTTTGACTAAAAGACAGTGTCACCCATTCAAAAAAAATGTACTAAAGAAAATTTACTAGTTATATTAATCACTCAAAAACAGTTCAATAATGAGTGATAAGTTTAAAAAATTTGGTGGTCTTATAGTTGTTTAAAATACAATAGTTTTTTAGAGCCAAAGTACTTAGAATTTCCCCTGGGGAAGTTCCAAATCCTCTGCTAAAATGTTTGTATCATATTTATTTTAAAATGAGAGAGAGATATTTTTTTTACTTATTTATTTTCTTCATTGTGGTAACGTGTTTAGTGTTTACAATATATAGCTTTATTTAAGAAGTGAAACTGATCACATAAATTCTAGTCACAATCAGAAATGTAGCCTATCGACTAAGCAATTAAAACATATAATTCTCCTAACAGTTATTCTCATTCTTCAGAAATATTTCTCAATTTTTTTTTTTTTCCAAAGAAAAGGTTTGGGGTGGGGAGTGAAAGCACTGGCAAACTCCTTTTGGATAACTGAAAGTTTTATTTCATTGTTTTGTTTGACCCTCAATTGCCAAAAACATATTGAAGGACTAGTCTCATGGTTACCCATTACAGGGTGCTCTGCTCTTGTGAACCAACGTACTCCTTTGGGTCCTGTACTTAGATTCATTGGGCCTCCTGTCTGGTGTTTTTCTAACAAATGGCCCGTTTGTGTACTTGCTGGTCTTTCACAACATTAATCTCTGAAAGATTAGAATGTATCCCCCAAAACACCATTAGCTCTCCTTAAGGAACTATTATGAACCTGTCATCCATGAATTGCTGTAAACTTCAATTTCAGTCACCTTCAGGCCCAGGAACAACTTAGTGCTGTATACAGTAATCAGTACATTATATAAAATACTTTTTATTTTGCTTAGATTAACCTCTTCCAGATCTCAACAGGAGATGCTAAATTCTAGTACTGAAAGATTCTGTGAGCAGATCTGTTTCACCTTATTCATACACCTTTCAGTAGGTAACCTATTGTGGTGGGAGTTTTGTAGATTGTCTTTTATGGGCTGATCATGTTTTGAGTATAATGAGTTTTATTCTTTAATTCATGATCAAAATTGTTACAGATGTTACATTTTACAAACATACTGTTAAGTTCACTTTGCTTTAGGCTGTGTTATCTATAATTCGTAGTGCTAATTGTCAACTCAGAACATACAGTTAATTTGGGATATCAGAAATAAAATAACTAGTCTTTTTTTTTCATTGTTAAAACTACTCTAACTATAATGTTACATTGGATTTAGAGCAGGTTTATCTATAACACCGTCATTTATTTAAACAAATTGGTTTTTCGGGTTTCATAATCCATTGAGGTTTTTTTCCTCAGTCACCCTTCATGAAGTTTTCCTGTTGCTTTATTTACTCATTCTGACTTAATTTTTATTTAGGAAAGTTATTTCAGAATACCATATTATAAAACATATTATCTTATTTCAGCAAAATTCACTTTTTTAGGCACATTTACTCAGCATTTCAAATAAATATATAAGCACGTGTCTTGTTTTAAATAATTACAATTTACATGACTCATGTTTGCAAGTTATATATTAGGTAGCGATTGTTTACATTCCCAGAGATTCTACACTTTACAGAAGATAATTTGCCATAAGATTTCCCTGTTCCGTTTGAAATGGCCTTGATTTTTTACAATAATAGCTTCTATATTCTCAGGAAGAAATATATGAAGCAAAGCATATCTCCATGCCTGTTTCAGTTTCTCTCGTCTTTTGCTGTCCTCACACATTCCTAACCCCTGGTAAATTTGGTGGGTTACTCACTCAGTACCTGGCAGCTCTTAATGGGTCCCTCATAGAAGTAGATGGTGATCATTTTCAGTACTTTGATACGTTTAATAGAAAACACACTGACTTGTGTTTTAAAACATAGTTTGTCTAATGGGAAGATTACATGATCTTAAGTGTGTTTTAGGTTTTTCTGCAACAATTAGCTGTGTGAGCCCTTAATTATAAGCGAATGTTTATAAAAGTTTTATAGTCAAAATTATTTTATTTTTTAAGGTGTGTCAAAAATTGCTTTTTGAAATATATTTGCCTAATTAGAGTTGTCAAATATACTGTGACTCCAACTGTATAAAGTCCTTTTTGTGCTATAAAAAGGAATACTACCAACATGTCAGAAAAAGATAGTGTGCATTTGTAATATAAAGTTGTATTTAACATATTAATTTTAAATTTGCACTAACTAAAAAACTTTAAAGGTTATATTAATTTATAGACTCATGTGGATCCGAATACGTAATTCGTACTTTTCAGCTGAAAAGGTTATACTTTCTTTAGAATGAGTGATAGTTTTATGTGGTTTTCCCTCAAAATGATAATATTGAAACAAGACCCAGCACTCTATATTAGTATTTTTTTTTTAATTCCACGTAACTTGGGACAAGGAAATGTAGGTAGACTTAATTTTAAAAAGGAAAAATCTAGACATTTAAAAAGGAAAAAATAGTGGTGTTACTCAAAAGGTGGTTTTGGTTTTGCTTTTTAAAAGCATGTCCCTGCCTTCCTCAAATTTTCCCTTTAAGGCCTAGCTCCTGTTGCTCAAACTGTGATCTGCAGGCCGTCTGCAGCCTCAGAGTCACCCTGGAGCTGGGTGACACCATGGATGTGTAAGCCCAGCAGCTCTGGACTTTGTGAATCAGTGTCTCTGGAGATGGGATGTAGGCACCTCGTTATTAACAAGCACCTCGGCACTTCTGGTGTACACTGAAATTGTAAAGCTACTGGTCTGTACCTCGTGTTCCCCCAGGGCTTTGCCAGATGGATGGATACCATGCAGGAAAACTGAATTAATTAGATGTTCTTAAAATTGTCTTTCTTCACTACACTAATAACTGTCCTCTTCCCCCTCACCAAACCTTTCTTTTAAAAGAAACTCTGTGAAAAACTTGCTAATATCCTATCCAAGTTGACATATGTATCTAAACTCTAATACATAAAAAATGGTGCCTCAGATTCTGACGTGGCTGCAATTCATGGAGGCTGGACAGACGAGCAGCGCTTCAGGGGCAGCGAGTGGGCGCCCCAGAGGCTCCTGCTCTCGCTTCGGTCAGCGCTGCCCCATGCTCGGGTGCTGCTTCAGATAAGATTTCAGTCGATAAAATATTTCCTCTTTCAAAACAAATTCCACTATTTTTTTTTTTTATAAAGAGTTTGGAGGCCACTACTCTAATGATTCTGGTTAATTTTCTACTGATCTTTACAAATTCAGAAACCTCGTGTTTTTTGGCTTTGAAAAGAATATTTTGGAGGTCTCAGTTGCTGCTTGGAATATGGCCACTTGGCTATTTCACAAGTTTTAAAGGCGTTTTGTTGAATAGTAAAGCACTGGCTTAGCCTGTTTCTCATATTTCTAATTTTAGTAAAGTATAGAAATGGTCTGTGTATTTAATTTTAGTTGTGTAAATACACGCTCACACACACATTTTCCTTCATGGCCCTGACCGTGATCAGTTCATGAGGCTTGCAGGTCTCAAAAAGGTACCTTCTGGGCCGGCCGAGTGGCTCAGTTGGTTAAGAGCTCGCTCAAGAGTTTGAGCTCTGAGCAACAGCGGTTCGAGTCCAGCCCGAGCTGAGCAGCAGCTGAGCTGCCAACAGGTAGCAGGATGGCTCAGCTAAAAAAAAAAAAAAAAAAAGGTACCTTCCAAGTTTCTAGAGAAAGAATCAAAAAAATGTCATCCTCTAATACCGAAGTTGAAGTGTATTGCCAATCTTAGACCTAGGACACTTCCTCAGTCTCTGCAAGGATGCCCTGGGCTACCTCACCATTGAAAGACAGTGTCAAAGCAGAATGCACTTAACAGAATATAAGCTATAGTATAATCTAGGAAATTTCCATCGTGGGGTGCTTCTTGATGACTGACATGGAATGTTGAAAAGAGCTGGAAAGTGAGGTGGCTTTCCTCTAACAGCATCCAGGCAAGAGGACATCCCGATCAGATGAGGAGATGGGGCTACCTGTGAGAAAATGCCCAGAGAAAGGAGAGGTCTTTGTGAAGTCTGGGTGACAGTGGTTCATAAGAACATTTGCTCTGTTATTCCAGTTCTAGGCTCTGCCAGCCGCCTTTCTCTTGAATTTGATCTGCTTACGTGAGCCCAGCAGGTAAATTGGCTCTCTGATTTGTGATTCTGTTTTAAAGCCCCCTGGGTCCCTGGCCCGGATCAACCTTGCAGGTGAACTGACTGAATCAGATCTCTGAATCCAGTGTTGAGGACACTTGTGGGGCTCTGCTAGGCAGCCAGCAGGCCTCGCACTTTCTTGCCCTCTGGCCACCGAACTGTATACCTACCACTTAATTACCCTGTGTTAATTGCTTTTTTTGTGTTGGGTCTGTATCATTGTGGTCATTGCCTACAGACAAATGTAAATTAAAGCATTTGATACGTTGAAGATGTTGGCTTGTTTTTTAATAAAATTAAATACAGCCCTTAACAAGTACTATCCTGCGTTGTTTTTGGACACAACAATGAGAAAACTAGTGGCTTTGAGTTAGTTTTACAGAAGATAGTCCTTGGTCTACCCCAGGGCAAACATACAACATGTGGCAAGTTCTGGGTCAGATACTTCTGGAAAGAAAGAATATAAAATTTATTTTGTATGGCTTTTGTAGCCGTGGGGCACATAGTGTACACACTTGAATGACGCTTAGGAGAAACATACATTCCCATGCTTATAGACTGGCTCAGGGCAAAGCAGAGCAGCAAGTGCAGTGAGATAAATGAGTGAATTCTCATTTCAGTCAGTCCAGTGGGAAGAGTACAGAACTCATTTGAAACACCTAGGTGGAAAACCCAGCCTCTGCCACGGTTTAACACTGGGCAAGCAAACCACTTGTTCTGCCTGAGCCTCAATTTTCTTTATAAAAGTGAGAGTTGATGCCCACCTCGAGGTTGCAAACTCAAATGATGAGAGGAACTAGGCAGGTGACCAACATAGGAGTGGAGGGAACTGCTAGAAACTAGAAAGCGCCTGATTATAGGAAAGCAGGTACAGTGGGAACAGAACTTTTCTTTCTAGAAAAGACAAAAACAGACTTGATAATCTAATTTTGAAATACTGATTGGCAGCTAATTACCTGTAGTCTCCCACAGGGTCATATGATTATAGTGGAGGGGGAAAGTGAAGACCTCTTACTATACCTGGCAGAAATACGCATTTCCTTCCATCTGTGATTGCGATTTCGTGTAACTTTTTTTTTTTTTTTTTTTTTGTAGCTGAGCCATCCTGCTACCTTTTGGCAGCTCAGCGGCTGCTCAGCTCGGGCTGGACGCGAACCGCTGTTGTTCAGAGCTCAAACTCTTGAGCGAGCTCTTAACCAACTGAGCCACTCGGCCGGCCCTTCGTGTAACATTTTTAATTCATTTCATTAGGTATTAGAGGAAGGAGATGCTGTGATCCAGCTTCATTCTGTCATCTTTACCCGGAAGTCCATTCTTACATATTTTTTGAAATAACTTAAAATTCATTGCTCAGATGCCTGCTTTTGTTTTTGTTTTTTCTTTAACCAACGCCTTTTTGATCAGTAATTTTAAACATGGATTGATTATCCTGCTTGGCTGTGATACCCACTGATGTTCACAAGGAAGGCTCTTGTTAGCTAAATAACCCCTGACAAGTCCATGGTTTGACTTCTTAAACAGCATTAACACACATTCGTTGAGCACTTGCGGGTTGTGCTAGATGCTTTTATTTACTTTTATCTCTTAGAATAAACAGTTCTACGAGGTAGACATACACTATTAATTTTATGGATTGGTAACTCAGAGCTAGATATTGATCCCAAGTCCTCATCCCTGCTGCCTTTTCATCAGCAGCATAACCACCACCAACGGTGTTTTAAAAACGTTGAAAATAGGCAGACCTAGTTATGGAGCTGGGCACTAAGAATGATGGGTTTGTGATACAGCCCTCAAAGGGACTCCACACGAGGAGACGAAAGGTACATATACAAAGATAAATTACTTCTGGAAGGAATTCAAAGATGTTGATGAGCTGAAAGTGTTTCACATTGCCTATAAATAAGAATTTATTTATTTATTTATTTATTTATTTATTTATTTATTTATTTATTTGGAGACTAGGCAATGGAAAGTATTTTTCTCATACATGAATAGATAGAAAAGTAAATGAGTCTGTGAGAAAGCTGTGTACACTGAGCTCTTGCGGACAGAGAGCTGAACTTGTTCATCTTTGCATTCAAAGGAATGAGCATTTCCTGTCTTTTGTGAAGATTCTGTTGTGTGTGTGATGGAACGCGTCCTCAGCAGGCTGTTACTCTAAGCCTCCAGTTTCCAGCCTATGGGAGTCACTCAGCAGTCTGAACAAATGAAGTTGCTGAGGTGCTGCATTGACAGGGCAGCCAGGCTAAGAGCAAAGCTGTATGCTCCTACAGCATGCGTGCGTGTGTCTCACACCCCATTCTCCAGAAAGCGCCCTCCAACCAAAGACTCCAGCCCAAAGGGTGTGTTCATACCACGTGTACTCACACTGGGAGGGAGGGGCGTTGGAACACGTCATGTGGAGGAGCAGCGATCCTAAACAGAGCAACGGGAGACCATGACCCATGACTTGGGAAGGCAGACCCTGGGGCCACGCCAGGCGTAGCAAGTTGGTGGGGTTTATCATTCAATATTGTTGCTTTGTTAAGGAATATAGGGGCATAATTGGCAGCACGGGGGGAAGGAACTATCTAATAGAAAGGCAAAGAACAAAAAATATGAAAGAGAGGAGACAACTGTGGGAGAGAATTCCAGCATCTAATTTTCACCTTCTGTTAGTGTCCATCTTGCCATACATAAGGTTGGGCATGATCACTTCTATAATCATATTCTCTCCTTTTCCCCACTGCTGTTTCCTAAAAGTGTGCAACAGTGGCTAGTACTGCTATACCTTGTTTCTGGTTATTGGCTACCTTCCACAGTGACAAATGAAAGGTCACTGTGTTTCATTGTTAGAATGAGCTAAAGAAATCAGGCATATTAAGCAATTAGAATGAGTAATGTCTCATTATGAATCATGAAGGGAGAGAAAATCAAAACACAAACCACCCCCACCCAACAGGTGGGGCTTCTCTTAATAGGGCAAAGGGCTGCTCACACAATAGTACACAATTGT